TCTTCTCTTCTCTTCTCTTCTCTTCTCTTCTCTTCTCTTCTCTTCTCTTCTCTTCTGTAGATACACTCAGCCATGCTGCTGTTTTTCTTTTAGCTCTTGAGCCTGTTGCTTTATTCAGCTCTTCTGCTCAAAGGAAAAACTTTCAGTTTCCTTCAGGCTCCAGCAGCATCTCAAACTTCCAACTGCAGGAAAAACCTCCCCTTACCTCTTTTGGAGGGATTGTATATTCCTTTCTTTTATCTTGGCAAGGCCATCAGGTGCTAGGAGTGGATCCATTTAAAAGGAATGGGGAGAGGGAGAGTCTGGTGGCCATTACTTTCTCCGTGCCATTCAGACCTACCCTTCCATGGTAATTTAAATCACATCCATAGTGATTATAAACCTGTTTCCCCATAAACTAATAAATTAATTTTCTCTCTGAGACTTATGTATGGGCTTTCAGACTTTTATGTGTGTGCTTTTATTATCATTTATTGATGTATTGTTTTAGCTGATTTGTTATTAACTGATGTTAACATTATGTTTAAAACTGTTCAGTATTGTGCTGTACATCACTGCAAACAGGCATTCCAGGTGCATGCAGATATAAACTTGAAAATAAATTATTTGATTCAAAGATAAGACTTTGTAAACACAAGAGAACAGGGCTCAGATTGTAGACTCTGTACCAGTTTTGCCTTCATCTTATATAGTATTGCAAGTGAAATTTAGCTTTTGGCTTCAGTAGATTTTTCATGGGTTGGATGAATGAGACAAATCTGTTGGTATTCTTTTCTAAATATCCACAGTACATGGCCTCAGCTGTTAAGGCCTTAGCATCAAAAGTTGCTGTTATTTTATGAAATCAGTCAAGTAGGCAAATATGGAGATTGAAGGGATTAGAGAACAAAGGGGCAGTCTTCTCATCAGCCTTAGGGAAGTTAAAATAGTAGTCCTTGACTTACGACTACAATTGGGACCAGAACTTCATGTGCTAAGTGATGTCATTAAGTGAGTTGCATCCAATTTTACTACCTTTTTTGCAACAGTTGTGCAAATCACTATGGTCATTAAGCAAATCACACAGTCGTTATGCAGATCCGGCTTCCCCCATTGACTTTGCTTGTTGGAAGCCCTCTGAGAAGGTCACAAATGGTGATCACAAGACCCTGGGATGCTGCAGCCCTCATAAATACATGCCAGTTGTCAAATGCCCGAATTTTGATCATGTGGCTATGGGGACACTGACAGTCATAAGTGAAAGGACCAGTCGTAAGTCACTTTTTTCAGCGTCGTCATAACTTCAGTCGTTAAATGAATGTTCGTAAGTGAAGGACTACCTGTAGAATTTTTATCTATACTATATTATTAAGTCACTGAAGCATAGTTTTGTTTCTGCCATGTGTGACTCTTTTTCCTGCCTGCATGACAACAAAGACAATGTATATCACTACTTCTTTGGCACCAGCCCTGGCAGGTATAAGCTATAAAAAGGGAATTCCATGTCATAAAAGAATCCAGAAAATAATGAGGAAAGTTTCTAGTGTTTTTCTTTCCACTTTATCTATTTAAATTTATTTAACCTCAGTTGAAATTAGCCCAGTTGTAAAGTCGGCTGCTGAGACATAATGTTCTGGAAGCTAAGCTGAATAATAATATAATCAGATGGCACAAAGTTTAATTATGTCCTAAATTAAAAGAAGATTTGTTTATATCTCTTTCAGCCACCTGAAAGCAACCATAATTTAACAGACAACCATATGGTAGCACTTATATCACCACTAAGCAGATCCTTTTCATCTGAATTGTCTACTGTCAAATATATCCATTTAGCTTGTTGTAAAATAGTTTTCTGTTAAATCGCTTAATTTTAAAAATGATCTAATAAAGATAAAGACATTTTATTGGTTAGAATTTCACCTTAGAGAGAGAAAAGCTCAGACTTTGGTCCAAACAAAAGCCTTAAAATTGCCCTAGATGTTCTAGCAATGAAATTCATTTGATATGTATTCTTCTCTTGCTTTTTTTTTCCCCTTATGGGAACAGCTGAAGGTACAAATAAAGCATACAAACTGTCTGCAGTCACATCTCAGAAAAAAACTCTGTTAAAGAATTATCAGTGTGAATTAAATCACTTCCATAGCGCTTGTTCATATCAAAAATGGATATATTTAGCTAATGGAAAAATTAGCTTAATATTTCTAATATTCTGAGTAGTATTTCCCCAATCTTGGCAACTTCAGATCATGTGCATTTCCTTCCACAGCTAGCATGGCCATTGCTAAGAACTCTGGGAATTGAAGTCCGTACATCTGGACGTTGCCAGGGTTGAGAACCACTGACCTACAGTTTCACAGTACACGTTATATGAAATAGCCTCTGTGCAACTGGACTAGAAGAGAACAGGTTCGGTTTCTTGAAGGACTGATATTTAGTGTCTGTTGCCCAGCTAATCGAAACATTGGATACATATATAGCTGAAATAGCTAAGTTTGGTTACTTCCAGATTTATGGTTATATTAGAACCTACTGCATAGCTAGGAGCATATACTTTTTAAATCTTGATCTCCACCTCCATTTTTCCTTAAATTCAGAAATCAAATCAGAGCACAAGCCTTTGCATGTTTTCTCAGAAATAGGAGCCACTACCTTTCTTCCACGAAATGGGTTGTGGACTATGTTACACTTTCTTCTCTTGTTATCCAGAATGTATGTATGTATGTTTGTTTTTGTTTCTGATTATCCTCATCTGTCTAAGAGTATACAACTAAACTAATGTATTGGAGGAAACCTCTTAAAAGAAAATTAAAGTGAGCCATTTGTCTACTTAATAATTCTGTAATGAGCAAATTTTCTAGAAACTCATCAGGTACACAGAGTTTACTGTAGATGTACTTGACTTTGTGCCAAGGGTCATAGACCTTGGCACAATCATTAATAAAATGATAAGATGCTGCAGGAAAAGCAGCTTTCCATCCATTGTTATTTATGACTATACAGAAAAATCTACATTAGATCAGATATTATATTAAAGAATGCAATGGCTTTATGAAATTATTATCTTGTGATTTAATCAGTGACTTATTTCAGTAAATTCAGTGCCTAAAGGTAAGAGAAGTCATCACAGTACAGTGGTACCTCTACTTATGAACGCCCCTACTTACGAATTTTTCGAGATACGACCAGCTCCGGCCCCAAAAAATTTTCCTCTACTTATGAACGCCCCTACTTACGAATTTTTCGAGATACGACCAGCTCCGGCCCCAAAAAATTTTCCTCTACTTATGAACT